CTCTAGGCCTAGGCACATAAACGCACACACAGCCCAGCGTGCTTGCTTGCTGGTGCATAGCAATGTCCTATGCTGCCACACTCAAGCGCCTAGCAATGCAAGGCATGCTGCGCGCCAGTACTAGCAAGGCCTAGCCTTGCGATAGCAGCTGGGCATGTTGTGCGCCAGTGCTAGCAAGGCCTAGCCTTGCGATAGCAGCAAGGCACTAGCGCCTAGCACGAATGGCATGCTAGGCTTGCGCCTAGCAATGCGAGGTGCATGCTAGCTCGAGCTAGCCTAGCAACCACATGGCTAGGCCAATGTAATGCTACGGCTTTGCTCGAACTTGTTGCTTGTTGATTTTGCGACGCTCGGTCTCGACGCTCTAGGCTCGATATCCGACGTCTGAGTTCGTAATACTCTAGTGACTCATCAAATCCTTCGGATTGATTCGTCGGTTCGGATCGGCAGTTCGTAAGGGTTCAGTTAAGATAAAGTTGTAATATTAATTGTTCACTAATATTACTGATCGGAAGCGGCCTCCACCCAGGCATTCCGATCACTTGATCTCACTGAAGAATTAGCTACCTGTTATTTTTGAACCCTCTATCAGAATAATACACTTGTTGGAAGGACACCATTCCTTTTAGTAATTAGTGGTGCTTATGAGACGAGACAACTCGCGAGCTACTCGAGCTTGAATATTTCAAAACTCCACTCAAGCACGAGAATGACTCAAAATGTTAATGAGTTGAGTCGAGTAGCTCATTACTCGAATTGAAAACTCGTGACAAGCTCGAATTCTTTTATACAGTATTATATTTAATAAAGATAATAATATTTTGATTTAAAAACTTTTATTTACAATAATATATAATAAATATACAATATTTACGTACTTATATATATATATATATATATATATATATATATTTCTCAAAATACTAAATCAAATAGAAGGAAGAGATTTTACACTAAATAGAGGGTTCAAATTAAAGACAATCAAAGAGAATCAAATAGCAACCTACTCGAGATTGACTTTAATTCCCCTTAATTTTGTAAAATTTATAATTATACAATATTGTAATTATGCGAATATTTTTATAAATATGTATTTGTATAAACTATTTTTATATAATTTAAGTAATGATTGATGCATATTTTATGAGAATTACTCAAAAGAAAAAATTATTTCATCTTACTAATCTTTTTGGGCTAACTATTCTTATCTCCTAAACCCCACTAATTTGAGCCCAAGTAATAATCCTAGTCCTACTAGGATTAAGAAAACCCATTAACATCATTAAAGCCCAAAAACTAATCCCTTAACTGCCCTCTAAAACCACAAAATTTTCCCCTAAATACTACTATTGCTTCCTACTGATTCACACACAATAGAAGGAAAAAAAAAAACAAATACTCCGTGCTTTCACCTATTCACGTACACTCGGAAAAAAAAAAAAAAAAAAAAAAAAAAAAAAAAAACCTCGCTACCCTATACTGCCGCTGCTGCCAACGCACCACCACCACCGGCGACCACTTGATGCCGCCCCGAACCACCGTTAGGCCAGCCGGTTTCCTCTACTTCCCTCATCTTCTATCTTTTTCTCTCTTCTTGTTTAAATTCCTTTAAAGCTTCAATCTTTATATGATTTGTTCCATGATTATTAATTATTATGATTTGATTATGTATATGAATTGTAAAAGATTACAAATTTATGATCTTTATTATTTAAGTTCGTGAAGTAATTTTCAGATTTGTTTAATTAAGAAAATAAGGGTTTAAAACTTGATTTTTCATGGTTTTAGGGCTTAAAACGTGTTAATCAAGTTACTTAATCATATTATGTTTAAATTATGTTAAAGTTCAATTATTTTGATTATAAATAGATTTACTATAGTTTTAATTTTGGGTTTTACTTGTGGTAATTTCATATTTTCATGATTCTATGCTAGTTCCTATAAATAATTGTTGGGCTATTTTGTGAGTATGAAGCATTTAATTTTGAAGAATAGTTCTAAGAATAAATTTTTCAGATTTTTGTTTATTATTTTGAAGCCTCTAATTACATTGAATTGGTTAATTTTTGGGTTTAAAGCTTACTAACTTAATATATAAAGTAGGTAGTTATAATGATTTCTAAAATTTCAAGATTTCATGTATAAACTAAATTTTCAGATTTTTATAAGGTCTTAAAATTGCTGTAATTTAATAAGTAAAAGTGTATTTTAAGATCTTTTGATGAGAATTCAAAATAATACTTCTACACTACTAACCTAGATATTTGGGAGGCTTAAATATGTTGTTTTAATGATTTTTGAAGCTTTTAAAGTACATTAGTATTGCTGTAAATTCGATTGTTTGGGTATTGATTGAGATTTTGTTGTTTGGTTTAGGAGAAGACCTCATAGAAGGTGATTTCAGTTGGAAATGTGGTTTACCAATTTGTTTACTCAAGGTACGTACAAGGATACAAAAAACCATGACTTTAGGAGCATGTTTAAGGACTTGGTAAAACTTAACATCATGTTAGAGAACCTGTGATTGATTGAAATTGTTTGGTAACAAATCTTATTGGCGATTATTCTTGATTGTGTGTGACATGTGATCATGTGGAAATTTTACATATGTTGATTTATCATCTAAGTGTTTTATATGAATTAACTTACGAGATGAACTTGAAAACAAAGATACATGAATACATGGATTTGTTTATTTTATTACTCGTTCATGATAATTGAAATGAAATGAGTAAAGGGAGAATTGAAGTCTTATAAGACAGGGTTGAGGATTTGAGGTGCCTTATACACTTAAGGTGTTTACACACCGAGATAGTGTAAAGGATTCAACACTAAATGTTGTTTGTCCCTAATAATTCAACAATGGAATTGGAAATTTGATTTGCTTGAATGGTTAATGTTTGATTGGTTATATTGTTTTTGTAAATGAGTCATCACCAAGTTTAAACTTGTAAATCACATAAAGCGCAAGATGGATGAGCAATAAAACTCTGGATTTGTGCACATCTAGAGTATTGACAAACAGGGGTTGAGGTTCATGGAGTATTAGCCGTGTACTTTTTAGAGGTCGTCTAATCTATGAGTCTTTTGTTTTCAAATACTTTTTAAAAACTATAAGGAGTTAGATGAGATCTCATACTAGCTATGGCCACGGAGTCGCGCCCCTCTGCCATTGGATGTTTATTGATGTTTCCGAAAGGACGTATGGGGTTTTTATTTTATTGATGTTCCTAATTGGAGCATAGGGAGACAACCTTGTCTATTGCTTAATCTAATGAATAAAATGAAATGAAATAATTAATATTTATTAGAGGAGTCTTAGCAATGTTAGTAGTTAAATCATGTGTTTTAGTTAATGATAAAATTGTTTGTCTGTTCTTTGAAAATTAGTAGCATGCTAGGAATGTTATTGTAATACCTCGTAGCTTGTATGTACTCAGCGTTGTTTGCGTGATTTTGTGTGTGTGTTTTCTTGGTTATGGCCTTCGCCTTTCAATGACCCTGTAACGACCCAATTTTTACACTTGTAATATTGGGGAGCAAAATTTATCACAGGTTTTTGCGTAGTTTGGATTTGCATCAAGGTGGTGGGAAATCGAGTGGAGAGTTAGTTACTACTCGTAGTTTTTTTCTTTTTTTTCTTGCATGAATATTGAGCTTTCTTAAACTTTGGTTTGATTTATTTACTATTTTGATATTTGGGTTTTGAATAAGGGGCCTGATGGTTCCAACTTGTAAAGCTTAATTTGGTTTTGCGTATCGTTTTGAATCATTATTTTAATTGAGTTAGATTTCCTCTGCTAAATTCTGATTTTGCCTTAACGTTTGAACACGTAGCGGTAACACGTCAGTAATTCTCTTACATTTTATTAAAGGTATTTATAGGTAAAAAGAGAGAATTATTAGGGTGTTACATTGACTCAGTCAAAGCTCGGTCAAAACTCGACTCGATTAAGCTCGACTCGATACGTTAACGAATCGAGTCAAGCTACCCCAAACTCAAACTCGAACTTGACTCGCATCATAAGCAACCCTACTCGTAATAGCATGTTTGAGCTAGACTCGATAAGAAACGCTCAGTGATCAATTGAGCTTTTGATTTGTCTTTTCGGCCTTAATAGGTTTGGACCAAATTTTACGATTTTAAGACTCTTAACACTTTAATGTCCGAATGGGCTGGGCAACTAAAGGACTTTGAGATATAGGGTCACTAAAAGGCTTTTATTGACAACCCATTAATATCAAAATTAAATTAAAGGGCCATTTATAAAATAGATTTTTAGAAAATAAAAAATAGAAAGACTGAAATCCCAATCTCCAATATCAGTTTCTCAAGGAAAAAAAAAATATCAAAATTTTTCAATTTATTTACAAATGCTATTGGGATATATTTTGTGATATAATAAATATTGTGTATTGTGATATATTAGGAAGTTAGAATACTTGTGTGGATTAATAGAGCTTGATTTATTTCTATTCAAAATGGTTCTCATAACTCATAAGTGAGGGTTTTTTATTTTTCAATGAGGTTTGATGTTCAAACCTCTTAGTATGCAAATTTAAAAAGGGATATATGTGGCACATAGACATTTTAGGAACATGGTAACTTTTGCTGTATATAAGGGTACAACAGCTTTTGTGTGCGGCTGGCCACACCGTGTGGCCATCTGACACATACCAAGTAACCCTTGACCAACAAGTAACCCTTAATCGACCGAGTAACCTCTAACCGACCAAGTAATCCCTGACCGATTGAGTAATCCCTGATCGAGTAACCCCTGACCAACCGAGTAACCCCTAATCGAGCGAGTAACCCCTATAGCATAAACAAAGTAACCTCCATAATGGTTGACCACATAGTGTGGCTAGCCACATATAAAAGTTTGTGATAAAAGTAACTTTAAATAATTTTAGGGTAACTTTAAGCCGTTTTACAATAAGTTAATAAGAGTCCGCCTTAATCAAGAATTTGTGAACCTTAATCAAGAATTTGTGAAAAACTTAACTGATTTTAGGGGAACACAACATCCCTTGACTTATAAGTTATTACATTAAATTCTCTTATATCCTACTTAATTAAGGTTTACATTCTAATTCAATAACTTTGCACTGATTTTATATTTTCCTTGTTACGGATCAACCTGCCCAATTCATTTTGGGGTTCCTCCCACGTCCCAACCATTGTATAATGATACCCCCTCCTACAACATCACTTACACTACAACAGTTGACAATCGCTGTTGATAGCTATTTCTAACCATTGTTAATTGACATTTTTGTAGTAGTGATAGGGGCTGGAGCAGGAGAAGATAAAACAAGTTTGTTACATCTATCGAGTACAGTGTCAGATAAACCGTTGCTGATACCTATTTCTAACCATTGTTAAATTTCTAAGCAAACTTAGCACGTCTTAAACATCCTAAAACCACTACCGCAGCAGCTAATTGTGGTCAGAATTTAAAAGTAAGAGTGCCAGCTAACAAAACGGAGGCTAATTCTCTAGTGTGATTTGTGAATCAAGTATTGGCACAAATCCTTGGCATCATTCTAACAGCAAGAGTTAAGCAGACTTTTTTCTTTTTCTCCCAGAAGATTTCGTTGAAGTATCTTGTTGCGCCTTTGCAGAGGAAGCAGTCAGTTTAGCTCCAACAGCAGAGCTCCAGAGAGCCCTTTCCACATCCGATGCTGTGAATTGCTCATCTTCTGAACTTAATTCCTGAAATGACAGGCAATTAACCTATTGATAAAAGAAAACTAACGTATGCCCCAATAAGGACAGACGCCAAAAAGGTTAAGTTGATCAAAACCTTTAATACATGTATTTTGATTTTAAGGTTGAAACTTAGGGAGACAACACATTAATAGCAAACTCATTGCTCTGCCATGACTATAAACGAGACCTCAGAAGCATTTTTTTAGATTAACTACATGTTAACTCATTGCAGTATGGTGATAATTGATGATGCGTAGCATAGACAAATAACTGGAAGAGCAGCAAGTTCGACTCAAGATTCACAAGGTGGAAGTAGCTGAATAACTTCTAACAACAACTTGATATGTTTTAGTCAAGTCAGGAGTATAGTGGAATTTTTTTATATAATCGTCTATGATTGACAGCAAGTACTCAGCTTATTTATATAATTTTTGCCAAGAATTAAACAGTAGTATTAAATCATGACCAATGGGACTTGGATTTCTATCCGGTGAAAGAATCAAAACTAAAACACAGAACTTGGAGAAATTTAGATAAATGTTTTAATAGATTTGTAATTGGAGATAGGTGACAGAACAAGAAGATCCAAATTTGAAGATACAAGCCTTCAATACATTCAATCAAAGGAACAAATAGACTCAAATGTCACAGGACAGATATATATAAGCTTCATTTACAAACATTTATAACATACTCATTGCTAAATTACAAGATACTCTTATGTGATATAAGATTATTATTGTCGCTTACGTGATTTCACATTTTCATTCATTTCCTTCAGATATTGGTTGATGTTACAGACTTAGATACTCATATAAGGAAAGATCATTTGGCAATTCTTATAATAAATTATATATAAAAGATCTTGGACATAAATGTATCAACATAAGGATTCTACCAAAAGGTCAAAGATGTGCGTATATATTTTCCGTCCATCATCAAACCATGTTTTTTTAAAAAAAAAATTTATTTTTTATTTTTTGTTTTTTATTTTTTATTTTATTGCCATCATCATCAAAATATATATGAATGCAAAAATGAAATCTGATACTCGAGCAAAACACAATAACACGACTAACCATCAGAGTATTGATCTCAGCATCAAGACTTGTATGTAAATATATAATTGATCTTTGTATAGTTTTTAAGTATATAGCTCATTCTGACTTAGTCAAGTCTATTCCCCTTCTCAAAGACAGGTAATACTCAATTCTTCTTTTTGTTATCTAATTAATCCTATTTTCCTACTTAATACATCATGAAAAACCAAGCAGCATGAAAAAATTAACATAGAACACCAACCTTTGCCTTCTCTCTTAACTTGTTGGCAAGCAGAAGATATTGTTTCAACGAGTAATCTTTTGACTGACCCAACACGGCTTCCATAGCCTAAAGATTAACCATAAAACACATTGTAATTTGTAAATGACTTGACAACCAAAATTACACATTTAAAATGCTAAGGGCAACAAAAACAAACTATATAAGTTTACAGGCAAATTCAATAAAAATGAAAATTACTGCTAAACTCATGTAGCACTGCATATTTGTGCCACTCTAGTGCCAAATAGGCAAACATTCAAATTCAGTTAGAATCATTTCGTTCGAAAATTCAACATCATTTTTTTACACAATTTAGGATACCTTTGCTTGAGCTAGAACCTAAAACGTCAATGATCTTATCAAGTACTAAATTCATTAATAAACCAATAATCTCCTAGACTAGCTTCTGAAAAATGTTATGTAACATCAATTTACACGACAAAGTTTTTCAAATATACATAATCATACCTCATCGGACATAAATGGAGCAAGATCAGGGGCATACGCAGCGAGGATAGCAGAGGCAGTGGCTGGCCCGACACCTTTAAGAACCGTAAGTTCCGAAACGGCTTTAGATAAATCATCCGGCAGAGATAGAAAAGCTTTTTGAGATGCCGACTTCACAACTTCTTCATCAAGGGCCGCCACAAAACCCAGTAACCTTGGTCTAAAAAAATATAAGAAATTTGGAAACAAAAATAAAATAAAATTCTTTAAATTTGAAATAAAACAATTTAATAATAATCCAATTCAGATAATTTAATCTTCGGTCTGAATACGAAGCTATCAAAAACAATAACTATAGCGGGATTAAATCTCAAGTCTTGGGTGCCACCGAAAACTTTAACCAACTAATAATAATAAAGCTGAGTCACCTGAATTTGCCGCGGGTGAGCTTCCATTGCATGAGAGAGTGGAGCTCGGATTGAGTGAGGTAGGGAGTAGGGATGCGGGAATGAATAAGTGAAGGAAGTTGAGTACGGTAGAAATCATCTAGGCAAACAAGGTTCGGTTTGTTAAGACTAAGAGAAAGAATGCGAGATTGGTAGGAAGTTAGAGCCTCTTTCCAGATCTTCACATCGTTGCATTTCAACTCCATTTTTTCAATTTTTGCTGCTTATTTTTGGGTTTCTCTTTGGGGTTTTAGTATAATGGGCGGTCTTTCATTCCAGTAGTTTCCAAGTACGATGATTTTTGCGGGAAAATGATTTTTATATTCTTTTTTTATTTTATTTCGGGAAAGAAAGAGAAATATGGAACGAGGTGTCAATTTGGATAATTGGGTCGGGTTTGGCGAGGTTGGGTTGGGTAGGGTGGGGTCAAATTTATTTTAAATGTGAGTTATGTTAAATTATTATATCCATACAACTGATACAAGTTGAAATTTAAATCAGCTTTGGTTCGGGTTGGATTTGGATCGGGTCGGTTGGGTTAGCTTTTGACACCTCGAATAATCAATAGTGTTCAATAACAAGATATGCTAATTCACGTGTTTGGGTTGGATTTGAATCTTGTTCAAGTCAAATTTGGGTTTGGTTTTCGTCGAGTCAATGTACTTCAAATTAGATTTTGGTAGGGTCATGTGGCCACAACGATATAAGAGCATAAGTCAGGGACCCATTAAATGTGATTTTTCTATACTTCGCCCACTTAAGAAAACTTAAAATCCTTTTGTCTTGCCATTTGTAATGGAACTTCGACAATCGCTTAAACCATCCTCTTGGTGCCAAATCTTTTACCCAACCTTCAATTAGATTTTAGCTTTGCATCCAATTTCCAGTAAAGTGTAAATCATGAAAGGCAAAAGGGCGAATGGAACCTTTTCCCGGCCAAGATACACTTAGTGAATGTTGCATGGGCATCCTTTGTGAACTTTTCCTGATGGTTAGGAGTTGAAAGATCAAAGGAGAACGCAGGGCCAATAGAGATTACATCCTTTGAATGTTGGGCATTGGCATTGTCTTATATGTTGGCACACACCTAAAGAAGTCTGATATGAATTTCTGTGAGTATTCTTCAATCAACTCACTTAATTCAACAATCTCATTGGATAAAAATTTAATTAGGAAAAATTCTGACAAGTGAATGTTACGAGGGTTTGAGGAAATAAAGAAGAAGAATTGAGAAAATGGTTGAACAATGCACATATGATTGTAATAAAGGCTCTTCCATAGGCTTTTTATAGTTTATTCCTAACTAGCAAATGGGATAGTTAACAATTCTGTTACAAATTCTATTTAAGGGAAATGGTTCAAAAAGGAATTATATCGTTTGAAGAAAATTATAAGATCCTGAAAGAAATAATGTATTTTAGGTTGCGCCTTGTCTAGGTCAATTCATGTTAACTCATGTGGACTAAATGATAGTAAATTTTTTTATTTTTTTTTTCAGGGTATTATAGTTTTTGTGTGTCGGGGTATTATTTTAATATAATTAGAGAATAATAATGAGTATTTTATACTACATATCTCCATTTCTTATTATTTGCAACAAATGAATTAAAATGGAATCCTAGACAAAATTTGTTTGTGAGTGCTAAATAATATGAAATTGAAAACAAATATGCCTTGATTTCGGAAGCAATTTACGGATCAATGACAAGAATATTTGTGGCGGCTCAAAAGCATTTTTCATTCATTCATCATTGATAGTTATGATAGGTTGTCGTACACCTGTCAAAAATATATTCCTAATAAAACCAACTAACAACGTGTTAGGAAGATTTATTTTAGCTTTACTAGCCATAGGCATGCATGTATTCAAAGTGTTTTGAATAATATATCACATGATTTGTTGCTCCTGAGTCAATTGTCCACCCATTTTTTAGTGCTAGAAACATTATAACAAGTAATCATACCTACAAAGTTCACATTTATCTTTTCCTCATTATCATATCCAGCTTTGTTTGATTTTGAGCTTGAAGGAATAAGTGCACAGCTGATCTGGTTGTTAAGCAGTGATAGACGTTGAACCTTTAATGCTATGAGAATTACCAGCAAACCTGCCTGCGTTCTACTTATTTCATTTCCCTTTTCCACCAGCATTTCTTCAAGTCTCAGCTTTTCCTTGCTGCTTCATGTACATGTAGTGCTACATAGAGTACCCAACCACCTTCCAACAATTGAATTTGTGTGATTTTTCCCTCCATACACTGAGCATCCAAGGCCATGAGATTACTAGTGTCTGTTGTTTTACCATCTAAGCCTATGGGGTTCCTAGTTTTTGCTGTTTAATAAGGTTGTAGGTTCCCTCTCTCCTTTGTTCTCATTTAGAGTTTTTCTTTGAGACTTTTCTTGTTGTAATGAGGCACAAGCTGTCTCAACACTTGGCACAAGTTCTATATCATGATTTGACTTTTCTGGGCAGCATAGGTGTTGTCCAGACCATTGAGGAATTAGAAGAGTTGATGCTCCTCCATTTGCACATTCAATTCATTTATAAATGCACTAATAATTTCAGGAGTTATAGTGGTGATGGGTGGCAACATGTTCATGCCTTCAATCTCTCCCCACAAGGACTTGATCCTGTGTAATAGTTACTTATAGAATCACCATTTTGCTGAATCTCATAGTTATCTTTGTTGAGTTACATTACTTGCACCGTTAGTTTGCAGATATCTGGTCTCAAGCTGCTACCAGATCTCTATAGCAGTGCTTAAGAACATCATGATTTTTAAAAAGAGTCAGACATGTTGTTGGTAGCCAAGCTATCATTACGTTATCGTAGGGATTTAGGTACTCTAAGCGGAATTTCATGAATCATATTCATACGCACCTGAAACTAGATCGCATGCATAACACACAAGAATCACATAATTATACCTTTGAAGCATAATTTCCACGTAGCAAGTTGATTGACAATTAGGGAGAGAATAGAGCCCCAAGCGTTGCTCCTTTACTTAGTCCACGAGATTTGAATGAGTCGTCCACCAATACAATATCGGTCGAGCGAAGGGAAAACACCACAATCACCACCTTTATGGATAACCGGCACCACCATGATCCACCGCCACCACCGTATACACACCGACGCACAGAGAGGAGAGAGAGCCGTGAGAGAGAGGGGAGAGTTTGAGAGAGGCTTGGCTTGTGTTTGCTAATTAGGGTTTAATCTAATTGATCAGTGAATGTTATGTTCAACCCTGGGCACCTAGTCTATTTATAATCTTATTATAATTAGACTAGGAAGCAAAGCCCAAACCCTCTAAACCTACCCACATGGCTGGCCACCTAGGGAAGAAGGCCCATCATGGGCCTTTTCCTCTTATACTCAATCTGGGCACTTTGTGTGACCTCATAGGATCCGTTCAGTTGGGGTTTAGATTATTTTAATAGACCAAAGATTGTTAGTACCTTTAGCTATGATATAACGACGACCCAAAAGAACGAATTTAATTATCTCCATAATTTAATCCATTATATATCTAGTAATTGCAGTTGACGAAGACATAAATCCTTCAATCTCCCACTTGTCTGAGACAAGTGTGCAATGTTCAAATTCCGTAAGTCAATATGTGTCGATTTGATAATATGATTGCATCTCATGCCGGGATCATATTAATCTACAAATCATTTCTTGAAATCTGAGTTAGAACTACAAATCAAATGATCACTGAGTAATACATTTGAGTGCGGCCACACAATTTCCGAATTCTCCCTCTTCAAGAGGCCATGACACATTTCCTAATTAAATAGGTAGACTCAATCCAATCTTGTGGCAACCAAAACTCCCACTCAACTTTTGAAGTAACCAGGAAACATCTTTTATAGTCCCCTTTTACGGAATGAAGTTTTAATGTACCATAGTTAAATCAATCATTGAATAAAATTAGTGTTCCACTCATGTCAAAGGAATCCACTAATATATCTGGAAGCTCTATACTTGAACATCAAAGTAGGTCCATAGTCGATCATGCATCATTCATGCATATCCATGTGATTGAACGAGCATCTCTATGCCCCTATAGCCCATGAAACTGCGCTATCCAATCAATCTTACATGCCAGTCCATTTATTGAAATCAATTATGTCCAATTTAATGATTTCGAACTAGGAACTTAAATAATTCATGAATTTATTTCACCTGTGGGGTTTCCTTCACCAAATCACGTATTTGATGATCCCATCAATTCATAATTATTTTGGACATTTTATTTAATATTCAACTGCAATTAAATAAGAGAAATGAAAATTTCTTGATTAAATATAATTCTGCAAGTTAATGTATTAACTATGTAATAAGTTTTCTCAAAACAAATACAACTTAAATTACATAACTTGCTTCAATCCAGAAGCCTTAGAATGACTCTCATGCTTTGGCTGTGAAAGGGGTTTAGTAAGTGGATGAGCGAAATTCTCATCCATATGAACTTTGCATATCTTGACATCCCGCCTGCCAACGATCTCTCGAATGAGATGAAACTTTCTCTCAATATGTATGGATTTGTAATGTGACTATGGCTCCTTTGATTGGGCAATGTTGCCATTGTTATCACAGAACAACTCAATTCCTTCTTGAGCATTAGGTACAATGTCTAGCTTAGTAAGGAACTTCTTGATCCAAACTGCCTCCTTAACTGCTTCTACCGCAGCCAAATACTCAGATTCTGTCATGGAGTCTGCGACAGTGCTATGCTTCGAACTCTTCTTGCTCACTGTTCCTCTATTCAAACATAAAATGTACCCAGATAGAGATCTAAAGTCATCTTTGTCTGTTTGGAAACTCGCACCGTATAACCCTTGACAACCAGTTCACTTTTGCCACCATAAACTTGAAACATTCCTTTAGTCCTTCTCAAGTACCCAAGGATGTTCTTAGCATCATTCTAGAGTGCTTCTCCTGGATGTGTTTGAAACCTGCTATACATGCTCAAGGCATATGCAACATCTGGCTTTGTACATATCATGGCATACCTAATATAATGGACCCTATTGCATGCAGAGGCATAAGGTACATTGGCCATATGTACCAACTCTTCTGGCTTTTGAGGGCACTGATTTTTACTGAGCGTAATACCATGAGACATGGGAAGAAATCCTCTCTTGGAATCTTGCATCTCAAACCTATCAAGGATCTTATCAATATAAGTCTCTTGACCTATCTCGATGGATCTTAATTCCCAATATGTACTCGGCATCTCCCAAGTCTTACATAGAGATAAAACTCTTCAACCATGCCTTGACTGATTCAAAGCATTGGTATGTCATTCCCCATGAGAAGTATGTCATCTACATATAAGACTAAGAAAACTAGGCTGCTCCCACTAGACTTATTGTATAAACAAGGTTCTTCTTCTCTCTTGAAGAAACCAAAGTATTTGATTGCCTCATTGAAACGAATGTTCCAACTCTATGATGCTTGCTTCAACCCATAAATGGATTTCTGAAGTTTGCAAACCTTTCTAGGATTTTCTGGATCCTCAAAACCCTCAAGTTATGTTATATACACAACCTCCGTCAAGAACCCATTCAAGAAGGCGGCTTTGACATCCAACTGCCAAATTTCGTAATTGAAAAAGTGACAATCGCTAGAAGAATCCTAATAGACTATAAGCTAGGTCTACCATCAGGCAAGTCTACCAAGG